TGTGTGGACATGGAGACTGACCCCTCAGAGGGGCCAGGGCTTGGAGACCCTGCAGGGGGCAGCACCCCACCAGCCCGGCAGGGATCCTGGGAGGATGAGGAAGAAGACTATGAAGAGGAGTTGACCGACAACCGCAACCGCGGCCGGAATAAGGCCCGCTACTGCGCCGAGGGCGGGGGTCCAGCTCTGGGGCGCAACAAGAATGAGCTGGAGGGCTGGGGGCGGGGTGTCTACATCCGCTGAGCAGCAGGGACCACGCAGTGGGAGGAAAGGCTCAGCCCTCGGGAGGCGAGGGACGGGCTCACCGCAGAGGACATAACTTGGCTCCAGGGGGCGCTGTTTCCTTTCAGATGCCTTTGCTCAGTGTTCGGGGTTTCCGTGGTGGTTAGCATCCCAGCTCCTGGGAGTCCCTTAAGTCCTACTTGTAACAAAGTTTTTACCTACCTGCTGTGAATGGACGGGGTGATGCCCACCTTTCTGCAGTGTCCCTTTTTCCCCACCTCAGGGGGCTCTCTGCCCCCTCACTCTCCCAGAGATAAGGTGCACTTCAACTTTCTACTTGGGGCTCTTAGTGAGGGTCCTAAATGGGGTGGCCCTTTCTTTTCCCAGCCTGGAGTATTTGGGAAGGGTAGGGGGCTTTTCCTGGAGAGGGAGACCACAGACTCTTTACCTTGGAGGCTCTCTTCCCAAGACCCCAGATCCAGGGTCCCTCACTGTGCCCACCCTTTTCCCCAGCTTCCTGGCAGCCTTGTCTGGTGGGTGACAGCTACAGCCTGGTAGTCCCATGGGGAGCTTGTCTTGGGGAGGGGTCTGGGTGGAAACCGGCAGGCATCAGATGTAGTACCCTCTGCCTGCCAAGGACCTAGAACCCTGAAGAGTGGGCAACCTGAGTCACTGCTACCCACCCACCACTTCCATGCCTCAGCCTCTGTCTACCCCAGGAATGAGCTTTGCCTACATCCCTTGCCTGCTGCCATCAGAAGGGGGGGCCGCTCTGCGTCTGAGCCCCCTGTCCCTGGATCCCTTTGTTACCTGGGTGTGGAGCCCATGGAACACTAGTCCACCTCATTTTGAAACCAAAAACTGCTCGGTCACTCTCACCCTGAAGCCCCAGAGGAGAGACCCTGTGGGTTGGTGCCCAAGAAGGGGTCAGCCCCCCAGGGGTTGCCTCGGGACGTCAGGTCTCCCCTGGGGTGATTGGCTGCTGCTGCTGTATTTGCCTCTTGTGATCCTGTCCTGTACTGATGTCCACTCCCCCAGGAGAGGCCTTGGCACCCCCTCTGCCCAGCAACCCTGCCCCTTCCCAGCACCCAGCTGGGCCAGAGAGAGCTGACTGCCAACGAGGACTGGGCCTTGCCGGGCTGCCCACTTCAGGGATGGGTGCCTCATGCCCATCTCGCCACCTCCTGTGCCAATGTCCCATCCCCACCTGGGGTGGGGTGCAGCTTCCACTTCCTGGTTAGAGACACCATTGCCCAACCTTTCCCCTCTCCTGTCTGGTGTCCTGTGTCCTCATCTGTCTGTCTGTCTTGTCTGTACTCCCCTATGAGAAGTATTTTGGCGCATATAAAAGCACTGTCCTGTCCTTTGCAGCTGCCTCCCGAGCCTGCTTTGTCACCACCGCACGGTTGCCAACCTAGCATGTGGAAGCTGCCAACATACAGGGGGTGCGAGGAGGTGGGTGCAGGAATGTACTGTGCCCTTAGTTCACTCAGCAAGATGGTGGTGCTTGGTTCTGTGGCTCTCTGATGCATTACTTTCAAACCTGGTAGGAAACACGTGGCCAGCCTCAGCTCCCCATTCAGCCCCATACCCCATGCCTTACCCATCCCCCCATAAGTACAGCCAGGGAAAACATAGCTGAGGCAGGGAAATGGGGTACTGTGGGTGTCGTTCAGTGGGTGAGATCTGGACCCACGCACAATGTCCTAAAGACGTGCTTGTTTTTCGGCTCCTGTGGCCTCCTCCCATGGCACAACACCTCAGGAGAGAGTGGCTGAGCTCCTTCTGGCCCCCTCCTCCACAAATGACCCCACTACTACCCGGACCCTGCTAACCAGCTTTTGGGGGGAGGGGCAGAAAGAATCATGGACACTCCCAGTCTCAGCCTGAGAGAAAGTTCAAGAGGGAGGAAGAAAGCAGGTGACTGCCAGTTCCTGCCATCAGCAGCGGGCAGGACGTGGACCTCTGATGGTTGTGAGTGCCTTGCAGGGCACCCACAAACCATTGCTCTGTCCTCCGGGCTCTTGTTCTGGTGTGGTGGCCCCAGAGGTTTAGAGCTGGTCCTTTACCTGAATGCTTCTGTCCAAAGTGTGTGTGTGTGTGTGTGTGTGTGTGTGTGTGTGTGTGCTGGTCCTTTACCTGAATGCTTCTGTCCAAAGTGTGTGTGTGTGTGTGTGTGTGTGTGTGTGTGTGTGTGTGTGTGTGTGTG